GAGACCACGAAGAAGATCCATAGAGTTTTCCGGGGGGACTTGGGATCCCTAACAGCAAAGAATTGCAGGCTTTTAGGCAATTCTGTTGGAAAAAGGGGGAGCTAGCTGAAAAACGATTGACAGCTCACAGAGCTCATTCTGATTGGGTGAAGGCAGCTTATTGTGGAACGGAACACTGAGCTGTTTAAAACATTTAGTGGGAAGGAGTTAGTTAGCCAGTTGGAGTGGAACAGTGAAGAATTGGAGCAAGGAGGCAGAACTGACAGAAAAAACGCGGAGTGAGACTTTGAAGAAAAGTGTCTCATAAGCCCCGTCTGTAGCAGAGCGAGTGTGTTGTGGCCTCTGGAAATAACAGCCTTGGGGGGAGACAGTGATTCTGGCATGGAAACCTCAGAACGTTCCCTATTCAAGGAGTGGAAGGAATCCCCTTGTTTGAAAACCAAAGAAAACACTACTTGAGTGGAAAATTAGTCACTCTCAGTATGGAAGCTTATTAACCAGTTTATAGAGACTGTTCTTTTGGCAGATAGGGAGTTGACAAAAGGTTTGAATGGCACGGAGGTCCCTCAAGCAAGTCCAAAGCTCTTAAGGAGAAGAGAATAACAATCTGGCCAGAGGAAGAGGGGACAGAGAGGAAAAACCCTGGTCTATAGACACAGGGTTAAAGCATAATAAAATCTCAAGTCTATGTGACCATACAGTAACGTTCAAAAATAGGCACTCTAGTAATATCTGTAACCCTGTTAAAGCAGTGAAATGTCTCTAACAGCAGCAAACCAAAGTAAACCAGGGAAAATAACTCTCTGAATATTTCTAGTATTGCATAAAAGCAATTTTGTACATATTTTAAAAAGTGTCTCTACCAATCCTAACCAAAACTCTCTTGTAAATATAATTTCCATCTCCTGCCTGTTTGTTCAAATAAATTCGACTTCTGTTTCAACTTTAAGTGTGCTTAGGTGCCTATTTCTGAAGGAAAATTCCTAGAACACATCCTCCTCAAGCACAGTTCCTTATTTGGGGTAGGAGTCAACAATTTCTGGATACAACAGAATGTATTTCTGGATACAACAGAAATAAGATGGGACAATGGCATTATAATAAAATTTATTTACCACATAAGAAAAGTGACATGCTACCTAAAGGCTACCCAGTTAACATATGGGGAACTGAAATTCATAGTGTGAGGGAGAAATCTGAGGCAATACAGGGGCAATTGTTCGACAGGAGTGCCCATTTGGTACAGGAACATTCTCAAAGAATACAGAAACAAAGTACACAAAAAGTTAGATCAAAAACAGTGTATCGGTGAACTACAAACACTACCTGAACCTGCAATAGGAAAAAAGTGACAAGCATTGTAAACAATATTCAATATACTATTAACAAGTGTGTAAATACACAGAAAAATAAACAGTATAATTGTAGGAGTATAAGTAAAATCAAAAGGGTGTTAAGACACGTGACAACTATGGGTTGCCAGCCAAACTCTGTTTGGAGTAGATCTTCATCAGACCACTTCTGTGTATTCTATTTTAAAACAGCCAACCAACTCAAAAACAAGGGGCCAAAAACAAACAAACAACACTCATACATCCCCTGCTGTATGAGATGCACAGTAACACAGTGATAAACCTGCCATCTCCAGGTGGATTCCCTCTTGTGTTCTATAAGAGCACAGAAGAATGCTTGTTTGCAAGATTGCAATTTCCGACCACTTCACCCTCAAACCGCTTCTCAACTGCAACGCTGGTCTGATCAAAAATAAAAAGAAGTTTTGTGGTATCTTAAAGAGGAATCGATTTGTTGCCAGAAATTGCAGCTAGCCACGTAGACCCAACTCCAAACCCAGAGAATGACAGATCTTTTACTTTT